CCAGACACCCACTTAACACACACACTTTTATATTCCTTATTTAGATAAGAAATTAAGCTTTTTGAAAGTTGAAATTTTTATGCAAAAAGGGGGTATCATTTGGTTTTCTTTTTTCATTGGTTTATTTGTTTTAGTGGCCACCAACTGAGCAAAAATGTTTGATATAGCCAATATATTATTTTACAAAGGTAGCAAAATTATACTTTAAGGAAGAAAAGGGGAATTTTCCAAAGATCAGAAATGATACAAAGTAGAACTTGCATAGTATCAGAAGCTACCAAATATAATTTTTGTCTGTCTTTAACTTTTCTGCTTGATTTAATAATCAACTCTTCAGAAATTGACACCAAGTAAAAAGAAATTTAGAGCATATAATGACAGAAGGTATAATCAAAACCAATATAATGGTTGTAAATAATAGGCCTTTGTAATGCTCTGGAAACAATTTTATCTGCATATTTGTACTCTCTCTAATGATTCCCTGTTTGAGTGACAGCTGCAGTGTAGGGAAACCACTCGTGTTCACATAATAAGGAATAAGCTCCACTGAATTTGCTGTGATTTGTACAAGAGATGCTATTTTAATCATAGTATAATGTTGCATATATTATGTATGACACTCTGGGAGGGTACTGTAGAGATTACCTTCCTCAAGAAATCAAAGCTTCAATTATCCGTTTGTATTTCAGTTTGAAATGAATACTTTATTTTTTTTAATACCTTTTTTTTTTTTTTTTGCCACACAACTGATACGCTACTCCCTTTTCTCACTCTCATCCAATTTGATGGACCATGAAAGACAGCTATTCGGGGGGAGAAATGAAGACTTTTTAAAGACAAAAAAGAAACAAAACTAGGCTTCCCCCAAAATAAATGCTCTTATTGACATTCATGATCAAAATATAACCTGAGATTGCCTAAAGTATATTCTTGAGAACCATTCAGTAATGATGACATTTGTTAGCAGAAAATATAAAGAAAGCAAAAATAGTAACTAACTTAAAGGAACAAGTCTTGGTATGACACTAATTTTTTATAGTACTTCAGTTTTGTTATAAACATGTCACCTGGGAGATTGACAAATTGATGGTTTTGATAGTTTTTCCCAAGTGTGATATTGTTCAGAGCAAAATATTCAGAATATTGGAACTGTATTAACACTAATATATTTTGTCCCAGTATTGCCTTAACAGGATACTATAATGTCATTTAGATGTAGCTAAGAAAGCAACTGATACTATGAAAATTTTTTAGCTGGTTTACATTTGATTTAGTATTAGTTCATTTTGCAACATAGGCTTTGGGACTGGGTTTTTTATTTTACATATATTTAGCTATCTGATTTGGGAGAAGGCAACGGCAACCCACTCCAGTACTCTTGCCTGGGAAATCCTATGGACGGAGGAGCCTGGTAGGCTGCAATCCATGGGGTCGTGAAGAGTCGGACATGACTGAGTGACTTCATTTTCACTTTTCACTTTCATGCACTGGAGAAGGAAACGGCAACCCACTCCAGTATTCTTGCCTGGAGAATCCCAGGGGCGGGAGCCTGGTGGGCTGCCATCTTGGGGTCGCACAGAGTCAGACACGACTGATGTGACTTGGCAGCAGCAGCAGCTATATTATTTACATATAGTATAACAATTTATTTTTTCAGTATTAAAGTTTTGGGATAAGTCTTCCAGTTTCCCACAGACAATGACAGTAACTTAAATTTTCATTTGTTTATAGATCCTCCTAAAAACTACAAAGGTCAATAAGGGAGGCAAATAAAAATTCCTATAAACTATGCCTAAAGAGTAATTAGAGCAAGACATTACAAACTTTAATTTACATGTAGCCAGGGAAATAACTGCCCAAGACCAAAAGAATTGCTTAAGAACACAATGCAATATTAAGCAGAAAATAAGTGGAAAAAAATGAGAGCACAAAAGTCTCCTTAGAGTAATGGAACACAGAAGAAAAAAAAAGCATTGGTTACAAGGGGGATAATAAAGTGGCTAGAAAAGTGCACAAGACCCAGATATAAGCTTTGGAAAAGCACTCCTTCTTGAAGAGGGGGAAGTATCTTCAAAGGTGGAAATGTCCCTTGGAAGCTAGGAAATAAGGAAGCAGATAAATATAAGTTCTCCTTATTCACATAAGAAGGAATAGAATAATCAGAAGACAAAAACAAGCAAACAACAAAATCAATTAGTGTCATATATTTTAGAGAACAAGAAACTTCCTCCACAAAACCCACACATTTACAAACTCCTTGCTATACATGAATTAAACTTTGAACTGAAAAATTTAAGAAGCCACTCAAACAAAACCTATTCTCTTTGCCCCCACCAGATATTTTTTATTAGTGATCGTCCAGGAAAGTCCTTAATGAATGGATTATCTGTACAAAGATATCTCTAATATCTGTATAAAGAAAACTCTAATATCTGTGCAAAGATATCATAAGAGAAAAACAGGAAACAGGAATAAAAACATGCAGAAGAAAGTGTGTTAAGTATCTGGCTATAAGACAGAATAGGTATATAGTACCCCAAAATAAATTTAAAATTTTAAACCAGTAATTAGAGATATGAAATAAGATTATAAATTAGGAATTCAAGAACATAGAATAAAATCTGGACAAATAAGAAAAAAATGCAAAGCAAGACTGAAAGAATACAGGCAATACATTCAAGACAGAAAAAAGATACAATTATCTAAAAAATTAAGATCACATTACAAACCAACCATAAGAATATAGGTCAGAAATGAGAGAAGTTAAGAAAATAAAATAGAACAAAGACAGAAAAAATGACCAGAAAGGAAGTGGTGGATATGAAAGATGTGCGAAGAAGATGCAACATCACTTGAGTTTATTATTTGAGTCCCTGAAGAAGACAAATAAACCAAAAGAGAATAGCTATTAAAATTATAATTTAATAAAATTTCCTGAACTATAACATGAATTGAATGTACATACTGAAAGGGCCCGCCATACATCTGGAAAAATTGATGTAGAATGTTAAACCCAGACATATACAAGAAATAGCTTTAGACTTTAAAATCTGTTTTCATTTGGAAGAGAAGTATTAAAATCTACCATTATTAGTCTATTTTTGAAATTTTCCAGGAATCAGAAAAATAACAAAATTACTTACAAAGGGCAGACAAGGGTTGGCATCAGATTTTTCATTAGGAAAATTTGATGCAAGAAAAGTGGAACACTATCTACTAGGTTCACAGGGCAACAAAGTGTGAACCAAATAGCTTATGTCTACCCAGGCTGTCCTCGAAGTGTGAAGGCTACAGAAAAACCGTGTTGATTTACTTATGAACATCTTCTGAAGAGGATGAACTTTATCCAAGAAGTTTGTTTGGTGAAACTTCGACAAAAAGACAAGTGGTGAGCATTGAATACATTTCACTAGAAATTTAAGGTAAAACAAAACTGAGAAGTATGTAAATTACATCCTCTGAGAAGCCAGAAGTACCGCAACCAAAGGAATGGAAGGAGAAGGAAATATAATATAAGCTCATCAAATGCCTTGTTGGTAAAAATGGGGAATGAAACGATACAGTTTAAACTGACAAGCTGAATGGTAGAAGACTAAGCATACGGAGGAGCACAAAGGGACTGATAATAGTTGAGCAGGGTAATGTGAATAGTCTAATCTCTGGAGGAACAGTCACAGTGAAAGTCGTAGTCGCGTCCGACTCTTTGGGACCCCATGGACTGTATAGTCCATGGAATTCTCCAGGCCAGAATACTGGAGTCAATAGCCTTTCCCTTCTCCAGGGGATCTTCCAAACCCAGGGATTGAACCCAGATCTCCTGCATTGTTAGGCGGATTCTTTACCAACTGAACTATCAGGGAAGTCCCTCTGGAGGAAAAGAAATGTCAAAAAGCTACTCCACAAACAAGTACCAGGTTTAGATGATCTCACAGGGGAGTTCTACTTAAGTTTTAAAGCCCATATAATCCTGGCATCACAGACTCAATGGACATGAGTTTAAGTAAATTCTGGGAGTCGGCAATAGACAGGGAGGCTTGGTGTGTTGCAGTCCATGGGGTTGCAGAGTTGGACAGGACTGAGCGACTGAACTGAACTGACTGATAATCCCCAAACTATTTTTTATTATTGCCTATCATAGAAAATAGAGAAGGCATTACAAACAATTTTCCAAAGTAATTATAATGTTGATAATAATACCTAATGAAATTGCACATATGCAGTCAAAAATTACAGAGCAATTTCCCTGATGAGTATAGATGCAAAATCCTAAATTAATTTTAGATGAAATGAATTCAATATTACAAGATAAAACACATCATGCCCAGACGTGGTTTATTTCATGGACAAAGAATAGTTACATGTTAATAACTTTATGAATAAGATTTACCAGAAAAATAAGGAAACAGAATAGCACATTTGTTTGCAAAGATGCTGAAAAGGTAATTTACAAATTTCAACATCCATTAATAAATACAAGCAAATGGAAACTTCTATAAAATTACAAAACATGTTCCACTCAACCATATGTCATCATATGAATTAATGGGGATCACTGGTGGCATTCACACAAAAATCAGGAATAAGTGATGTTCATTATAAGTTTCTTTTAATATGTTGGAAGGTAATAGCCAGCTCAATTAGACAAGAGAAAACTATTAGATGTATAAAAATTGGAAAATAAAATGCAGTCTCTATTTGATTAAAACAGTTGAAAAACTCAAGTGGTTATTTATGTAGCACAGAAAATAGAGGAAAGATTCTAAATTATTTTCGAAAGTAATTACAATGTTGATGATAATACCTAGTGAAATTGCATGTACACCCTCAAAAATTACAGAGCGATTTTCCTGATGAATATCGATGTAAAATCCTAAATTAATTTCAGATGAAAAGAATTCAGTATCACAAGATGAAATGTAAAAATAGTTCCATGTTAGCAACTCTATTAATAAGATTTACCATAAAAATAAAGAAACATGTACTTGTTGTCATTTACTTACGGTTTACAGTTTTGACTGGTAATATTGGATTTACCCTCTCTGGCGAAGCAGCATTTACTTCATCTCTCACATATTCAAAATTAATGATGAACATCATAGCCACGCCCTCTTGGTTTTTGACTGGAATTATGTGAGTATTACAAATGAAAGTGGACCCTAAGGAGATAAAAAATGAGTATAAGGTCAAAATTATGTCTTCATTTTGAAGTGGCAGTAATATTAAAATTCTAATAAAGCCCTGTAAAATTTTCTATTGTAAATGATCAATGAAATTCAATTAAAAATTTAATTTCTCATTTCATATTTTATTGCATATATATTTACATAAAAATACACAAATTTTCCAGAAAGATTTTATAGGCAAATTCAACTACTAAACTATGGAAAGACAGAATATCAAATCTCATTTGTTCTTATACTCTCATTTATTCTTACACTTTAATTTTTAAAAAAGGACATTTTTTTTACATTTCTAGAAACAACTCTTAGCCTTTATATATTTTGATTAGTTATGAATCTATATAAAGTATAGCTGTATAAACAATAAAGATAACAGTTTTTCTCATCTTGAAAAAAATCTCAAATTACTTTCTTTTTCTTCTTTAATTTCTTGAATATCAATAGTAAATTATTGATTCTGTCTTAAGTAGGTCCTAATAATTCTTCCTTTTTTTGTGTAAAATTCACAATGTTCAAATCACAGTGATTTTGTTTGGTTTGTATTCTGTTAGACAATAAGAACAAAATTTTTGTCTACGTTATTGTGTTAATTTGATCTCTTTAAACAAGAAGATGACATTCTTTTAAAAGCACAATTATAGGGCTAATCAGATACATTTCATTAAAATCTCCTGGAAATTAAATGAACAAAAAGATGACTCAGCTTACAACTAACCACTGCCATCCATCCTTGAATAGAAAACCCAAGATCCAAGATTTAGGGAAGACAGTAAAGAAGCTGACTTTTCATATCAACCGACTTCTGCCTGATTTCTTGGCCTGATTTCTAAATCCTCAAAGCAGTTTCCTCACACATTCACCCTCTGAATATTTTTTAGTTGTGGTTATGGAAATCTTAAGTGTTAGAGATTTGTTTGGGGTCAAAAAATATTGTATGCTTTAAAATGCAAAAACTTCAGGAAGAGTTCAATCATTCAGACAATAGAGAGTATTTTGATTGCTTTCTCTCTTTTTTAAACAATTATCTGGGAACATCTTGACTCTTGAGAAGAATGATGGTTCAATGTAGAAGCAGGATCGAAGTGTGAAACTCGAAGTGAAGTCGCTCAGTCGTGTCCGACTCTTTGCGACCCCATAGACTGTAGCCGACCAGTCTCCCCCATTCATGGGATTTTCCAGGCAAGAATACTGGAGTGGGTTGCCATTTCCTTCTCTAGGAGATCTTCCTGACTCAGGGATTGAACCCGAATCTCCCGCGTTGTAGGCAGACGCTTTACCCTCTGAGCCACCGGGGAAGTCACTTTCTCCAAATGAAACTTGAAGGGAAGTGAAACTCTGAAGGAAGATGTGCAAAAGTGAGTGTCTCTGGCAAAGCCCACAGGGTCCACAGGAAGAATAAGATAGAAACTAGGTGTTTAGATAAAGTCTAACCTCTTCTTTTGTGCTTAATTTATAGTCACTTGCTAGTAGGATGCCTCAAGCAGAGGCTGTGCACCCAGCATTTCAGACTAGAGTTGCTAGTCCAAAACGGCCACGCATAACACCTCAGCTCCAAAGGCCCGTGTGGAGTCACTGTATCCCTAGCACTGCAATCTGGAGGGGAAGAGTAGCATAGCCCCGCCCCACTCACCAGAACTCCACCCCCGTCCCCTGCAGACAGAACACTATAAAGAGGTCCCGCCCACAATATTTGAAGTGGGTAGAGCTTGAACTCTAGAGCAGGTGATTGCATCTCTCCATTCTTAGATCGAAGAATAAGTTTTCCTTTGCTTCTGAACTGAACTCAGTCTTGTTTTATTGGCTTGAATGACACTGGGGAGGGAGGACCCTGTTGAGGATCAACCCAGGAGAGTTGGTAATAAGAGGACCCCAAGAGGGTGGAGATGGGGGCACTGGAGTATGAGAAAACTCTTCTCTTTCTTCACATTTCTGAAACTTGTCTCCTGCTGCCAGAACTGAGAACAAAGGCTAATATTGCTATAGAGTGAGACATTACAGGTCAAAGGGCTTCTGAGGGTGGCCCTGGAGATCTAATTATTTATGAAATTATTTCATAAATGGGGTAATGTGCTCCAATTTCCAAGGAACAGATTTACAGATACACTTTTAAAAGACATACTCTTTGTAGGTTGGGGAAGACTATGTGCTAGTTATATTCAGATTTTCAAATGTGGATAAGCCTCCCTAATTTGAAATGTAGAAGATCTTATTCATAATTAATTTCATTTTTTCTACAGATTGGCCATAGTTTTGCAGTTGTTGGAAAGTATGTTTTAAGAATGACATGCTGCACCTTCGCAGTCTTCAGCTACATCTTCAATTCATTTAATAGAATAGTTAGTTGGAGCAGTTGTCATAGTTTCCATGGTAACAAACAGGATGACTTTAGTAAACAGAAATAAGCAATTTAAGACTGTTCCATTAGAACTAAAAATAGAACTGCTTCAGGCCAGGCATCACAATATAAAATGGTTAAATAGAAAGTCTGAGGAGATGCTAGAAATAGCCATTATGTATTTTGCTAATGAACCAAAATACATATTGATTTTATCACTTAAAATGACATTTCCTGGATCATTTAGAATATCATTGTGAATTCACAGATTTGTTACTTAGCAGTTTCAAATCTTTCAACATTTGAGGTTTACTGCTGATTGTACAATATAATATGAAGGACAGATTTTTGAGAAATCAATTAATAAAAGATGTAGGGATCGAGATCTACTAGGTTTGCAATAGAGCAGAGTAATTTTGCTTTCAGTAATAAGGGGCAAAATCCTGTCTTTTAACACTAATGCTTGTACATCTACTGTCCAGTGAAAAAAATCATGAAATGATAGTGCTTTGTAAAAAAGTTTGGCTATATGAATTAGCTCTACAGCACACTGAGTAAGTGTAATTAATCTAGGATTTACTGCCCACTATCATTGTTCCCTGAATGTTTCTATTAAGTAATATATCTCCTTTAAAGTCAACTGAAGACTCACATTACATTTTTTTCTCTTTTAGTTTTTGAATTTAATGTCTCCGTCAATCTTGCATAGACTCCTGGAAAGCAGATATTGAAAGGAGAAACATGGAATTTATAAGAGGAGAAGAATCAAATGCATTTTACAGTGCAAGAACAATTTAGCTTGCATAATGCTACAAACTCCAAGTTCTGTTAAGACACTGCTTTTGTAAAGCAACATTACCCTAAGAAGTCATTACTGTGTGATCCTAAATATTTTTGTTAAATGCAACAGTGGAAGCAGAGAAATGGAAGCATAACCCAGCCAACACTAATCTAGCCATGAAGACAAAAATAGACACTTTCTATAATGTTTAAATAAGAGAATTTAAAAAAAATCTTGCATTAAAGAGTTCAGTGCTCGCTTCGGCAGCACATATACTAAAAAAAAAAAGAGCTCAGACCTTGTTGAAAGAAGATATATTATATTGGTTACATTAAAATGAAATTAATAATTTTTTCTAAGAAACGGCTTATTTATAATAACATTATTATCAATAATTATAAAATTATACATGCAATTATACTAATTTAGTAAGACGGGTTCATTTCCATGTTTTGTCTCCTGAGTGAAAACATTGCTAAAGCGGGAAAGGTTGCTTAGAAGGAACACTGCTCATTTTAATAAAATGTCTAGAATGTTAATTTTTAATGGTAGCCATAGAGTAAGCAAAGTTGGAATAATCTGAATAATTAGCCCTTTATTAATAATAAACTCCTAGCCATGTTTTAAAATAAAATATCAAGACTCCTCCCTTTGGGCTACTTTAGAGATGCTTTATTCTACAGTTTATACTCATGGGGTATCCTTACCCTGAAATAAAAAATGTGTGGGTGTATATGTGTATGCTGTCGCTTCAGTTGTGTCTCACTCTTTGCAACCTGATGGACTGTAGCTTGCCAGGTTCCTTTGTCCATGGGATTTCCCAAGCAAGAATACTGGAGTGGGTTGCCATGCCCTTCTCCAAGGGATCTTTGTGAGCCAGGGATGGAACCCACATCTCCTGCATTGCAGGCAGATTCTTTATCTACTGAATCACCTGGGAAGCCCCCCAAAATGTACACTGAGCACCTAATATTGGGTCAGGTACTGTTCAGAGTTCTCAGATGGTAATGAGAACAGCTGTGAGAAAACAGATCAAGGTCTTGAACTTGTGTAACTTATATTCAACTAAGGGAAACATATTAATAAACATATAAGTATTCAGCCTATCAAGTAAAAAAGTACAATGAAGAAAAAGACTGCAGAATAAGATGGTAAATAATAATAGTGGAAAGGGAATGTTTCTCCTTCAGAATGACATGTAAGCAAAGACATTTAGGAAATGGTAAAATTGGGCTATATGACTTTGCCAGTGCAAAATCCTATAGGTGAAAGCATGATTGTAAGCTCAAGGAACAGTGTGGAAGCCAGTGTGACTAAGGCAGTGTGGTGTTTGTGGCATAGAACAGGCTTGGACAGCAAGTAAAGTAGGGAGCCACACCTTGTAGATCATGGGGAAAGGATAAAGGGTACGAAGTTGAAGCTGTTTTCCCATTGTCTTACGACCTGAAGTTGGTTGGGAATTGTAATTTCAGAATTGAGACCGTTTTCATAACAAAAGCTGACCTTTTATTGACCTATTATCTGGGATTGACCTCATGAAGGAAGGCTCTGCCAAACACCATCCAAAGTCAGTGCTGAATTACATGGGTGAATAAAGTTTAACTGGAAGATGAAAAATAAAAGTAAGCTGCATTTTATTCACAGTCCAAGCTTCACACTTCTCAGTAGAACTCAGAACAGTACCTGTCATAGAGCAAAACTGAATGTGAGCTATTTCTTTTGCTCCTTGCTGGAAGGTCTCCAGAGGGGCAAGCTAACTCTCAAGTCTCTCCATGTAATTTCCTCCAGTCTTTTACTTTTCTAGGAACCACAAGCTACATTGTTTGTATTTTTCAGCAACACATGGAGATTTTTCTTCTC